GCGACTTCCTTTAGGGGGGGACTACAAAGCCCAGATTCCGCAAGGGAGCATGGGTAAAGTGCCCCGTGGGTGTGCACGTCTGTGGTCGCCTGTGACGCTCAGGAGACCATGCCCACGAACAGCCGCCAAAAGCTTCCTCTTTTTCAACTTTTGCAAGCCATAGGGTCTGCTCCCTGGATTCTCATGTGCCCAAAGCAGAAGAGCCGCATCAAATACTGTAACAACCGGATGAAATACATTGTATATTTGCATGTGTAGATGAATGTGTCTCTCATACAAGTGTGCGCGCGCACGAGATAAGGAGCAATGGAAATGCACTTTAAAAAGCATTGTTATCCAATGGTTGTTGTGGGTTTTTCGGGCTCTTTGGCCGTGTTCTGAAGGTTGTTCTTCCTAACATTTCGCCAGTCTTTGTGGCCAGCATCTTCAGAGGACAGCACTCTGTGCTCTGGTGTAGTTGGCTTGGGAGTGTTTTTCAAAAAATAACAAATATAAAAAATAAATATAAGATGGATTCCCAAGCCAACTACACCAGAGCACAGAGTGCTGTCCTCTGAAGATGCTGGCCACAAAGACTGGCGAAATGTTAGGAAGAGCAACCTTCAGAACACGGCCAAAGAGCCCGAAAAACCCACAACAACCATTAGATCCCGGTCGTGAAAGCCTTTGCAAATACATTATTATCCACTTTATGATATGATTTCCAGCTCAGTGAATGGGTGTAAAGAAGTTTAGGAAATAGCCACTAATGAGGAGCTGATGATTTAAATAAAATAAATAAATATATGTGTCCTCCTAAAGTTAAAGGTTTAAGGAATAATTTCATATTCGTTTAGAAAGGAATATTTTTATAGATGTTTCGAGAGGATTTATGGACTATGGATTAACAAAAGGAAAAAAAAAACACCTGCTCAAAAATCCATGTGGTTCTCAAAAGATTCTGGTTGAATCTGTTTCAGGAGGCACATTGTGTTTTATTGCAATTGCCTAAATGGATTGATTTTTTTTTTTTTTAGTTTTATGGTTTTTATTATATGCCTCGCTATAGTCTTTCTTTGGCTTGTTTTGATTTTTGATAAAAAAATAAAATGACATGATATGTAGGACGATTGTGCCAGTTGTATCATTTTTTGGCCCCCAGAGACAGAGAGCATGGGTCTCTTCCAGCTCTGCGGTTCCAAGATGATGAGGATGATTCCCTCCCATAAATAACAGGGGAGACAAAGGACAAGGGCCAAAATGGGGCCTGCTATTGAGACAAGGTGGGGGTAGTCAAGCTCATTTGCTGAACATTCATGGGCGATTGCTCGAATAGCAAATTCTACTTTTTCAGCTGTCCATCACACATTTAGATCCCCCCCCCAAATGTGATGTGGGTCATCAGTGGGAAGGTCAGCCAGGAAACAACAACAACGATAGCAACCACAACAGGCGGGGGGGGGGGATGGCCTCTGATGGCAT